TTGCCCTCTATTCTGAACTCTACTCTTCTCTCTTTTATCCCCATACAGAGTAGAAAAGTGCCTTTTATTTCTCTTAATGTTTCTTTCATAAGTTCTATTTGTCCACGATGTTATTCATTGTGAAATTACCAAAAGGCAGGGGCCAGGATACCAATTAAAATACTGCACTGAATATTTATTCTGTATCTATCACTTGAAAACGAAAACTTTCAAAAATGAACTGTAGCAAATTTCAAAATGGAAAAGGTAGCACAAATGGTCAAAAGGATCAGAAACATAAGGATGAAGGAGGAGACTATAACTCATATGAGAAAGACCATATTGCTAAAATGTGTCATTTGTTTTCCCAAAAGACTGTATATTTAAGAATAAGTGTCCTGTAATGGAACTGAGAAAAAGTGAGACTACATTTATTTAATAGTATTTAGAAATTAAGAAATGGTTAGAAATAGCTCTGAAAATGGAGTGCTCAAAGAAGAAGCTAAGAGAGAAGAAAACATTCCTGTATCTTCTGACTTGTCTATTCCCTTTACTTCTTACTGTGATGACTTCAATCCAAGTGTTTCTTACAAGTCAGCCTTGTCCACACTCCTCGTCACTTGATCTTGGTGCCCAGAATTTTTTTCTGGGGGCTAAAACTATGCCAAAATAGCTTAGCAGCCAAAATCCTGATGTTTACTTTGGCAGATGTAGATTACTCTGAGGCTGTACCTCTTTTTATGCAGTAGATGCTTAAAAAGCTATATGTAAATATAATTTCTGTAAATAGTATATTTTTAAAAAAGAAGAGGATTCTTTACTTCTTCAATGAATTTCTTAGTAAAGTGAAGAAATTTCTGGGAAAGTAAATAATCATTCTTCAAATTATATCACACATACACACTCAATGAAGATTTGCCAGAGATGAGGTTTACTAGAATACAATGCATAGTCTGAGTAAATTCTTACCAAGGAGATAATCTAGGAAAATTTATTGGTCAGCCATTCACTATTATAAATATTGCCAGTCACCTTATTTTATGTAATCCTAGACCAGAAGGTCATGGAGTAATTTTGACAATCTGTGCATAATTTACATTTTAGGGCCTGGTTTACAATAGGGAATGTAACTATTCACAAAGTCACCTCTGAATATGAAATATTATTTTTATATCTTTGTTCCAGAGGAAAAAAACTAGCATGTGCCCTTACCCTCTCACTGAAAACCTCCCAAACAGAAGAATTTGTTTTTAAAATAAAAGGTAATGAATAAGTTTTATGTTTCTTGTGATAAAGGGGGAATGAAAAAAAACCTAGAAAGATAGAAACGCATTGATATTAACAGGATAACATGTCTATGATACTTTCAAAATGACAAGGCTTGATTTTAAAATTGATCTTTAACAAGAAAAAGAAATATGGGCAATTAGGAAGTAATGAAGAGCCTGTCAATATGGCTATGTTGATAATAACAGGTAAGGGAATTCTGGAGACAATCTAATATATAAAAATCAGGAGGTCTGTAATATGCATTATTGAGTCTCAGTGGGATTAACTAATGAATTTATGAGCTCACCAGCAGTTATTTTTAGAAAGTTGTAAAGAATTAGAGAAATACCAAAGCACTGACAAATAATGTGCCTTCTAAAAAGAGGTAAAATACAACTACTAAAATCATTTTAAAATGAATTCTAGAGCTTTTAAGAAAATCACTTAAAAAAATACAGATTTATCAATATTTGATCAGGAAAATTTCCTAATGGTAGACTCTCCAAGTTAGAAGGCACAGGTGAGACTCAGCCACCCTGGGGGAGAGGGTAATAAGTGCAGTGGGGTGGGATGTTCACTGAGACTTGTAGGGGAAACGCCAAGAGTAGCTCAGCAAACATGCTGCCTTGCCTCCTTAAATTGCTTTTGTAAGCTACAGGCAAGTCCCCTTCCACTGTCAACACCATTGCAAACCCATTAAAGCTGAGATTGTGTTGAGACCCTAAAGGCAAGTCCACAAGTTTGACGAGAGATAAGAGACAGGATGAAACAAAGACATAAAATCAGTGGTAGAAACTTTTGGGTCATTTGCAGCTTCTGGGGCAGCCTGTCCTGTCCTCCAGCTTCTTTTCTGTATCTCTCATCTATGGAAGGGGAGGGGAGTGGGTAGGGTGCAGTGCAGCTTAAGACCCAGAGAGACAACTCTGCGAGTAAACTTATTCTTAGGCAGAGCAGACTGCCTGCAGTAGCTGCACATCTTTGACCTTAACCTAGCAGACCTCCTAACCAATAAAAAATAGGTGTGTTTTTATTGTGCCAGTTGCCTATCAAAGTCAGACAGCTGGTACAGAATTGCTTTCTTTTGTTTTAATTCTTGTCTCCCATCTACTCTTACTGTTGCCACAAGGGATATTGGGCCTCCAAGGATATACTGGGATATATCCCACAAAGGATATGCTGTGGCCTCCAGGGATATTGCTTCTCTTTAAAATTTGAGCCCAGGTGCAGGCAAACATTCCCCTTGTCATTTTCAAAAGTAACTTTACCAAAAGATTGCAGGAGCAGCACAGAGCACCAGACAAGGAAATGCAAAGAACCATACATACAGGTTTCTGTTCCCATTACTCCCAGCACAATCAGAAAAGAACTTTATAGTGCCCCATTCTAAAATAATTCTGTAGGAGAGGGCTAGTACAGATTTATAGATATCTTGTCAGCCTTCCTTTCCTAGCTAGCTTCTCTGTCTGTTTCTAGCTAGGTACCTATGGCTTATGGCTGCCAGTGTGTGTTTGTATGTGCGTGAGAAAGAGAAAGAGCGATAGAGGGAGGGAGAGATTGAGAAAGATCAAGAGACAGGGAGGGAGAGGTGAGATGGAATGAACTGCAAAATACGTACTGTATTTTAAAACAAAACAAAACAAAAAACCCATTTCCTGGGTCAAATATCTGAATCTTCTGTGGTCCTCCTCCCTTAGTTGTGGATTCTATTCTACAGGATATAATTTGTGGGCAGTCTTTCCAGGGGTCTTGTGACTGATTGATGCATACATTCATGCATGTATTTATTGTATGCTAGGCATGATTCCTTGGGGCTAGTTATGCAGTAGTGAGCCCTGCCCTTGTAGCATACATGCTGAGGGGGATGACAGCCAATGAACATGTAAACTAATGGACATGATAATTTTAGAGAGTCAGAAGCGTTGTGAAGAAAACACTAGGTGGACATGAAGACAATGAGGAGGAGGAGGTGAGATGAGGAGAGGTGGCAGCAACTTGGATTGGGTGGAGAAGACTTCTGCCCTGAGACCTGAATGGCAAGGACCCAGACGAGGTCGGGAGTTGCAGTGCTGCAGGCAAGGTCATAGAAGAGCAAGGGCAGGGGCTCTAAGGAGGAGAGAGCCTGCCAGGACAGAGCAACTGAAAAGCTGGGTGAGGGGGAAAGGGAACCATGACTCAGAGAGGCAGGCGGCCTCCACACCACGGGAGGTGCCACAGGCCACAGTGACAGGTTTGAATTTTATCCCCATTTGCAATGGAAGAGCTTCTTGCAGAGTTTCAAGCAGAGGAGAAATATAATCTGATTTGCATTTTAAGTGTACACTGGTTGGTAGGTGGTGAATAGTGAATGGATTATGGGGAATTAGAATGATGGGTTTAACCCTTCCTAATCACATTTACCACGTCCTTCCACCTTAGAGCATTCTCTATTGCTTGCTCTTCTACAAACTGCAGAGTAACTTCCTGCTAGTTCATATAAATAAATTAATGATACAGTAATAGTAATATGCAGTAAGAGTTGAAAAAGAGTCTATAAAATAGTATTTTAAAGTAGCGAATAAAAAAATGGAGGTGAACTAGAAATAATATTTTCCCAACAATTTTGCTCTTGTCATTTATGGAAACAGTATTTTCCCAACAATTTTGCTCTTGTTATTTATACTGATACCTCTGGTTTCTTAGCCCTTAGAAGGACTGTTGTGTGTGGTGGGAAGGTGTTGGGATGGGAAATACATGTCACAGAATTCCATTTCTGCAAGCAGTCTAGAGGTAACTGGTATGTTTATTCTCCAGGCAGGCTTTTCCACTGAGTTCTTCATTTCTATGAATGGACACAACATTCTCTTAACTACTCCAGCTCAAAGCTGCTCAGTCATCTTTGATTTTTTTTCTCCTTCCTTCCTTGTTTGCTGCCTCCTGATCCAATCAGTTACCAAATCCTGACACACCTCAGAAAAGTTTTTCCAGTCTTTCTCCCTTTCCATCCCCCCATTACCACTCTAAATTTAATGACCTATCATTTAGAACTCAGAAACTTCCTAACTTGTGTCATTGCCTTCAATCTCTCCCCTATCTTGTACCTTGCCACCATATGAAAAATTCTGTTACCATTTGTGTCATGTACCTCTTTCTCTGCTCAAAAATATCCAAAGGCTCCTCATAATCTATCAAATAAATTGAAATTCTTTAATTTGGTTTAAAGCTCTCCATTTTCTGGCTCCAGCCTTCTTTTAAGGTTTATCCCTCAATTTCTCTTCTATTGGTACTCCCTATCTTCCCAGGCCAACTGGTATTTCTTAAACCTTTTCAAAATCTTACGGATTGGGCATCTGTGATTCTGATGATTCTGAAGTCCAGCCAGAGAAGAAATTACCATTATAAAGTTTTTGAAGGCAGGGCCAAACTTTACTCATCTTCAACACAGAATGATAAATATACATTATGTTGAAGTATATGGGTTGGCTTTTAGAGTTAAGAAATAAATTCCTCTAAAATCAGAATATTGTGACAACTGGATACTCTTTAATGAAAGCTGAAGGAAGTAGAATGTTTTTCTTCTTCTCCAACGAAATGATAAGTAGACTCAGGTGATACACAGTCCATTAGCAACGAGTTTGATAAGCACTGACAAATAACCAAAGTATCTTCCAGATCTCTTTAGCTAAAATGTTGTGCTTATCTAGTAAACACAATTTTCTAGTATCAAAGCAATTTAGGTAAGTGTCAGAACTGAGGGCTCTCAGAGAGTCTAACTGTTTAAGAGCTTTTATTTCCAAGATGTATTTGGCTTGGTCCAAATTTAGATGCAGATAGAAACATATCAAACATAAAATAGTAAAGCTATGAAAAGGACTGTGGATAAAATTTCATCCAATAGTTTCATTTCACAGGTAAGAAATCTAAACTTAAGAGAGGTTGTGATAAGCCAAAGTTTCACAGACATTTTGCTGCAATATAGTTAATATTTACAAATTCGTTAAAACACTGAAATAGAAACATTTTTCAGAAGATGTATGTTTTAAGATCCAGTTCAATATTTTATCTCCTCTAGTAAGCATTTTTCGATTAATCTTAACCAAATCAACTACTTCTTTTCTTCATGTTTTAGTACTTTGTATCCAGTCTTTACTACATTATCATACACATGTTTTGCTTAACTAGTCATTTTGGGCATGAAAAATACATTGCTTTAAAAAAATACCTTGTTTTATCTTCAAGTCTTTGGGGATGATGCTTCAAAACTTTTTATTCCAGAAATCATAGTTGAGGCTTAATAGGTGTTGTATAAACAACTGTCTGAAACAGATTCACCAGAAAACTGATACTTACTAAATATTATTTAACATAGAATCATAGAATTTTTCTATGGTTCTTGCACTATTTTGATGATGATCACCATTTAAAGAAATGGTAGCATACAGATCATGGTTGTAAAAACTTGAGAATTTAAAAAGCAAAGTGCTACTGGTGTTTTGAAAACATAGATGATTCATTACATGAATGTTTGTATCCATAGCATCATTTTGTATTGTTTTGTCAGACTTTCAAACACACAGACCTTTACTTTGCGGCCAATAAAAGGAGGAAGGAAGCAGAGGAAGGAGGAGGTGATAAACTAGCCCCAGTCACTTAATGATTTGGAATTGTACTAAAGCCTATTGGCCAATTTGGGGAGAACTGATATACTTACAATATGAGTCATCCAATCAACAAACATGATATATCTTGCCACTTACTTAAGTCATTTTTAATGCTTTCTAATGAAGTTTTATCACTTTCTCAATCACTTTATTTTTTATATTCATTCATTCATTAATTCAATTACACTTTTTATTTTGAAATAATTCTAGATTCATATGCAGTTGTAAGAAATAACAGATTGATACTATGTCCCTTTTATAATTTTCCTCAATAATAACACCTTGTAAAACCACAGTACAATATGACAACCAGGATATTGTCAATACTGCAATTAAAATACAGAAAATTTCTATCATCACAAAGATCACCTATGGCCTTTTATAGCCATGCCTACTTCCCTTTCTGGGCCCTCCTTAACCCCTGGAAACCACTAATATATTCTTCAGTTCTATACTTTTATCACTTCAAGAATGTTATATAAATGGAATCATACCATATGCACTCTTTTGGGATTGGCTTTTATCATTCAGCTTAATTCTCTGGAGATTTATTTAGATGTGTGTATCAATAGTTTGTTCTTTTTTACTGCTGAGTAATATTCTATGGTATGGATATATCACAGTTTGTTTAACCATTTCCATGTTCATGGACATCTGGGTAGTTTCCAGTTTATGGCTATTATGACTAAAGTTGCAGTAAACATTCATGTACAAATTTTTATGTGAAATAATCTTTGTTTTTATGGGATAAATGCCCAAGGGTACAGTTGCTGGGCTGCACATTAGTTGCATGTTTAGTTTTTCAAGAAACTGCCACTGTTTTTCAGTCACTGTACCATTTTAGATTCCTTCCAGCAATGTCTGAGTGATCTAGTTTCTATGTATCTTTGCCATAATGTATTGAAATCATAGACTGATTCTTCCATTCTAGTAAGTAGGTAATAGTTCCTTTGTCTTTCTATATAAATTATAGAATAATCTAGTCTATACTTACTGTAAAGGATTGACCTTGCCCAAAAAGGTATCATCTGGGCCTCTGGAGCATCTAGAGACTACAGTTAGCCATGCAGACAGTCAACCACGTCAATCTAACTAAGTCCTAGTTAAACTCTGGACACCAACACTTGGGTGAGCTTCCCTGGTATGTAATACTCCATAAGTATTCTCACACACTGTTGCTGGGAGAAGACAGCACTGTCCATGACTTGACTGGAAAAGGACAACTGGAAACTCACTTTGGAACTTCCCTTGACTCTGCCCAGCATGCCCTCTTCCTTGGCTGATCTGTACCCTTTTGCTGTGTAAGACTGTCACCATGAATATAACAGCCTTCACTGAAGTGAGTTCTGTGAGTCCTGGCAAATGATCAAACCTGAAGGTGATCTTAGGGATATCCTCTTACAGTTGGTATCAGAAGTGAGAGTCATCTTGGTGACTTCAGAAGTTCAGATCTACAAAATATCTTGCTGGGATTTTGACAGGAATAATGTTAAACCTGCATACCAATTTGGAGAGAACTGACATCTTTACTATGTTGAGTGACTGAAATTATGAACATGATGTGTCTCTCAGCTTTATTTTTGTAATACTGCATATTTATTGATGCTACTTCAAATGCTTGTTGATATATAAAAACTCAACTGATTTTTGTATAATGCTTTTGTATCCAGCAACCTTGCTAACTTATCCTTTTCATCCTAAACATTTATCTATAGATTTTGAATTTTCTACATAAACAATTATAAGTGAATAATTTCAGTTTTAATTTTTCTTCTCTAATTCTTATGGCTTTTATTTCTTCCAGTCGTATATTTATGAAAACTTTAGACTATAAGCAAAATGGCCTCAAATGTATTCATACCATTAACTAACTGGGTCAATACAGTATCACATAAAGCAAGTTATTATGACTAATATAAAACAGGTACAAAATTAATATATTTTCTATTTTGATTGATTTCTTGATAACACAACTTAAAAAAGCCCTATTTTTGTCAGGTAATGTCATCTAGCTTCTGACTACTGGTCATGAGAGCTCCTTGTCACTTTATGACAGACAGTGACAGCTTCTGGAGTGAGTTATTCTCCCCACACTGTGATTTCTTTTCATTCTAGTTAAGATAATGTAGAAATAGACTATTTTTGTTACATTCAGTCTCCAAGTCTAGAGTTGCCTTCATGCTGTCTGGTGTTACTTTAATTTCATTTCCAGTTCTCTCCCCCAAAGCATTTCCTCTTTGAATGTCCTTAAAAAACAAGCAGACAAAAATCACAACTCACAATGCAACCTCCTTCTACATGGCAAGAATCCTTAAAGAATCCTGAACTTATTTACACAATACCATTAATACATACAGAATAACATCTTTCATCAAGTTAAAGATGTGCTGATTTTAAATTAAATACATATATTCATAAATATGTCATGTAAATGTAGTGAATTCCTACTATTGATTAGTTTAGAAAATGACATGAGAACATAGTAGACAGGACTGATAACTTCAATACCAGAAAATATTTCAGAGTATCAATATAGAGAAAATACATGAGCACTTAAATTAACAGTAAAATTCCATTAAGGGCTAATTCATGACAAAAATTGAACAGAGCCAGATATGGCTGAACAATTACTATAAAGGCTTATAAAAACTGTTTACAATTATAATCCTTACTGCATCTATACTGAATTTCATCCTAAAATGACATTTCAAAACTCTAATAGGGTTTTCCACATAGGCTGTCCTGCAAACTGTCCAGAAGACTAACAGGCTGAAATCTTTCATTATAGCTCAAGAAATTAAATTTACTTCCGGGTTTGTAAATATTTACACTCCTGGGGTTTGAAATATGGTAATAGATGTAAAGTATATTTTACATGTGGTGCAAAATTTTGCAAGTACATATAATCCCACTTCTTTGCTTTGTATACTGGCTATAAGCAACATTTTATATTAAATTGTAGGGCCATAAAATCCTTTTTCCCAAGTATTTTAAAATCAGAGTCAGAATTATTACTTGGATCTTGTTAAAGTAGTAATGGATGGAATTATTTCCCAAAGAATCTCAAACATACCCTTTGGGCATCACAGTAGGTGGATGGCATCTATTATTTTATTTCTATTCCACAGAGAAAATTTAAAAAGTTATACTGGTGGGGAAAGCCTGTGAATCCACTTAAAAGGTTAACTGAGGTGGAGGATTATTAACCTGCACAGTAAAAAAGGAAGGTGTTGGTTACTTAAATAAGATGGTCAGATTTCGATGCTTTTCAACAATTTATATCCATCAGTAGAAACATGAGTTGTAGGAAACTTTCCTAAGAGAAAGTTATAAACAAAGGGAAACCTGTATTATCAAGATAGAAGTACTTTAGGGACCCCAATAGTAAAGAATGCTCTACCCATTAATTAGAAAAAAAAATACATTTACAAGTTGTGTAGAAGGGAGCTACAATTTACATCTCTACAGTGATTTAAAAGTGAAAATTTTAATAATATATTAAGTAAAAAGACAGTAGTAGAATTACTTTTGCTGGTTTAGTAGTTATTTAACCATATCCTTTATTGAAAAAAGCATTTGAGATGACATATATATATTATGGTAGGATAAAAAAGGGGGTGAACAGTAAAAGGAGTACAGTAATAGGATAAAGTCAGGGATGGGGTAAGGTTAATACATGAGGATGACTAATACAAAGAAATGTGCAATTGCTGCATGATGACTAAAAATTTGAGCCTCCTATCAACAAATACAAAGAGGGTAATACAACTGATTATGATTCACTGCATCTAGGTGATAAAAGCAAACCAGTTGTAGAAAACAGTTGTGTTTCATACTGTGTTCTTAGTGTGGACTTATGACATTAGAACAAAGAGCAACTTGGGAGAAATAATTCAGAGGATATTAAGATAATATTTTTCCAGTGACCTGATAGTCTATGATAGTCTGGCTTGCTAAAGAGACAAAATTAAGCACGAAAAGGGAGTAGATGCATTGTATCTCCTTTAAACAACTGTAGTTTTTTTTAAACAATTGTATTATTTTTTAACTTTTTGCCCAATAGGAATGGAGCAACAGAAAGTCTGAGGTTACATTCTCTGACAAGAACTTGGACGACAGTTTTTGGATGATATTTCTGCTATCTTGGGGTCACCAATCTAATTTAATATCTACTCCAGAAATTATGAGCTTAACCAAAATATGTGCCCCAATAGATGGCTCCTCTATCTACAAAGAAGTGGGGTTAAGGGAAGGACTGGGAGGAGAAAAGGCCAAGATTATCTTTAAAAAAAAACTTTTGACTTCACTTGAAAATATGAATAAATAGATTATAAAGGTCCCATATTGGATAGCATGTCTGTAAATACCTCAGCCTAGGTATTACTAGATATTACTCTAGCCACAAATCATTATCAATAAGTAGGCCACTGAATATGGACAATTTTTTAGATTCAATTTTAAGGTAGTAGAGTTAAAGCTGTAATATGGTGGTAATATGTATTCTTAGCAATTGTCATCATCATTAAGAAATCAAAGTAAAAGTTAAAATTAATTGGGTATTTACTATGTTCCTGGCATAGCACTAAGCACTTTAATATACTAATTCATGTAAAATTGAGAATAATTTTACAAACTAGGTGGTATTACCCTCATTTTTCTGATAAAGAACCTGAGGTCTGGAGAGGTTATGGTACTTTCTAAAGGTCGTAGTGCTCTAAGTAAGAATATAAGCTCTATGAAGGCAGGGACATTGTTTTGTTCACCCTTTATTCCTATTGCTTAGAGCACTGCCTGACACCTAAGACTCTCCTGATAAACGTTTGTTGAAGCAGCTGAATCCAAATGCCAGGCTATTAAACTGTGAAACAGAGCTACTAGAGTATAAGCCAATGGATGGTCTCAGTTTAAGGCAGTAAGGATTGAGACCTACTGTGGTGACTACTATGTTGTTACAGTATGTGGGAAAATGATGGCTATCTTTGGTATACCAGTGTGGACTTCTGTAAGACATTTTGGTGTAATCAAGATTCTTTTTTTTCATTTTCACATTATTTTCCTGAGATGGCAAGCTTAATGGGATCGAAGAATGGGCTTAAATTCTACATGATTCACTTAATTTTATAAGGATAAATACTCAGTATCACACTATAGATTAAAACCTTTAAAGAGTTCAGGAAGCTTCACAATTAACTGATGTTGATCAAAGGGGAATAGGATTTTAACATATAGGTTGTCTAACAAAAGAATAGCCCCAGCTGGAAAGCATTTTTCCTACTGATAGGTAACCAGTATACTATAAAAAGAGAATACCAGTATTTAATGTGGGTTTCTATTTAATTTCTACAGGCTTTCCTTTACTTTCTTCATTCCCTCATTAACTTCATCTTTTAAAGCCAGAACAAGACCCTCAAGATTCAGTTTTCTAGGTTACATTTTTAAAGGTGTACACTAAAAACAAGTTAGCACAGTAGCCATGTCACTAAATAAAGTGATGACTCATGCTGCAGTGATATGATATGGAAGCAGTTAATGCAGTACAGAAAAAAACTTACTGTCAGAGGTCACTACAATACTTCTAGAAATGTGCTCAATTCTTTCTTCCTTATATCCATATCATTATCTATTTTGCTAAAATAGCATCTTGAATGTGTCTTGAGTGTGGGAAGATTAGCATTTGCTCTCAGCTGACTACAGATAGCAATCTTTCATAAGGCATGAAACCGAACCTACTGGAGGAAAGAGCCTCAAACTCAATGCTTCTAACTTTAGACAGACAACCAACAGGTCATTTTCTAAACACGAGGTTTCTGTGTAGTTTTTAAAAAGAACAATTTTTTTCAACATAACACAATAAGCTTCCTATAGACTTTAAAACAGAAAGCAACATTTTCACTTTTATACAACTCACATCTTTTCCTGACTTGAAAGAACAGCCAAAAGGATGAAAGGCAATATTGGCCTTGGAGAAATATGCTGAATGGTCAAAAATCTTTCTTAATCTTTAATAGTGAAGTAGTGAAAAGGTTAACAATCTGGGATGATGCAACCCCAAGTCACTGAAATGTAATATTTACAATAATTATTAGACAACATTTTTTGAAAAATTGGGAACAATTTCTGCTTGAATTTTAAATTTGTGTTTTATATTTGCAGGTCAAAATGTATTTATTTTATAATTGATAATACTTCATGCTTTATTTCAGAATTGCATTTGACACAAATATCCAAGTTTTATGAACACAGATGAAATATCTAACTTATTCAGAAAAGTGACTGTCTTACAAATTAAAATTATAACTAAAGAATGCAATTCTAGAAAAAAGGATTTCATTAAAAGACAGTTTTAGTATTTTCATCTCTGAATTCAAAGGTTTTTTCCCATCTGATTTGGTTCAGAGCAGCCTCATGGTTAGTCATAATAATGCCCAATTACATACTTAAAAAAAGTATTATATACTTAAATTATATTAAGTAATATATAATAATGTGTATTATCATATACATAAAAACTATATACTTAATCAAATAACATAATAAGACAAATCAAATGTATCACTATGAAGTATAAGTAACTCTTCACTTTAAAAAAATTACCTCTAAAGTGACTGGAATACTCTCACAAAGCAAATTAAAATTTTCAGATAAAAACTATTTTAGATTTTCAGAGAAGGAAAAATAAGAATCTCCAGGTCCCTTAATCCCTATGGTCACAGTCTCTTTGTATTACTCAAAAACCTGTTGTACAAAAAAACAAAACTTTTGTTTGTTGTTTTAGAGCAAAAAAACCTTGCTTTTTTTATGATGTCTCTGGTGAAACCTTTTAAGTGGTGAAGTTTTGGTCTCAGAGCAAGATTTTGCCAGTTTAAATACTGATAGATTCTTAATTACAGTGTTACATATGGTGGTAAATAAACACAACTGGGTATTTTTATGAACAATAAACATTTGAAGAACTTTGGAAATAAATTTCATTTGTAACTATGTTATTCTTAATAAAATTGTTCTGCTCAGTCAGTATTCTTTCTATATTTCTCCTTATCTAACTTCATCACAGTTTTTGCAAGTAAATTCAAACATGATTTTCTTTTGGTCAGTATTGCAAGTTACAAATTTTCTCTTATTAAAAAATATAAAATTTAGTGATAAATCATGTATAGTGATGTGATTCTGAAGTTTAAGATTGAGATATGGAAAAAACTGATTCGAATGTATTCTAAGAAAATAAACCTAGAAATATTAAATTAAA